ACTGTGTAGTTCATGGAGGTTTATGCTAGAATAGCTCTGGCTTGGTTTTTCAGCTTATTGCCACTAATTGGTAGACATGGGATGCACAAGAGCTGCCTTAGCTGACTATGAAAGCTGTATGTCAGCATCAGACTCCTTAGAGTTCGCAAAACAGATCGTCTTTTCCAAAAATGTGAGCGAGCTTTCTAAAGTTGTGATTCTCTGACTTCTGCTTCTGATGAAATGCCATGAAGCAAGTGGATGTAACATTCTGTAGCCACTTTATAGTTCACAGTACCATGCCTCAAACCTCATGTTTCATATTCTCCAGCACTCTTCAGTATCTCTGCTTACTTTTGAAAACCCTCAAATGTAGAAGGTTACCTGATATATAAGTTAAATAAGACAGACTTTGTTATTTAGATACCAATTCATAACTACTGTTTTAGAAATGAGTTGTTTACACAGAAAGTTCACAAGATTTTTTAAAAATAAACATTTCTCTTCAATGTTTGCTCAGGTTATTTTTCTCCATATTTTGTAAAAAAACCTTTTCTATTTTTCTGGGACTATCACTTCTAGATTAGTTTATACAGGAGCCTCTGTATACTTGAATAATTGGGTTTTTTTTTTACATTTTGTAGCAGTGCCTGCAATGGATTAGCTATAAAAGCACTGCTTAAATTTAGCCCTTAGTAATATTTTTAGCTGTTGAACAAATGTCGTGGTACAGCCGCTTTTCAGTTTTGCAGCTGTTTTAAGAAGGAGTGATAAAAAAGAGAGACCTCTGAAGATTCAAGACTATGGAACATGCACCAGATAGAGTTTTACTGTAATTCAAAAGTGGGGTGAGGTGGCCCTCACAGCAGTATCAGCATGATGAAAAGCTCATAGCTCAGCATGATCTCTCTCACATTCAAGTAACTTGGCTGTGTATTCTTCTTACCAAGCAGTAAGGAAAATCTTTGACAAGACCACCACCACCACCACCCCTCACATACACAAATAAAAGTATACAAACACTGCAATCAGAGCATTTGAACCGTTTTACTTGGACAGGGGGTTGTGTGTGGGGAGAACATCTTTTCAAGTAATAATCTGAACAGTACAGATACATCTATCATCTCGAAAGACCCTGGAATCACCTTTATCCAAACCTGTTTCTTAAAAATTGGACAATTTAAATCTCAACTGTCTTGGCCAGTATAGGCCAAAGGTATATATTTTTAAAATATTGTTTGCCACTTAGTTGCTACTGCTTTAATGTAGTGGTGGAAGAAGAAAGGGGGTAGCCTAGACTCATCAGCATTCTAGGTTTTGTGCTGTGACTCAGATAAATCAGTGTGGCTCATAAAGCAAAGGGACTCTTCTCATGTTGGTGCAATGTGAGAGATGGTTGGGAAACAGAAATTGGATCCAAACTAGGGTTTCTGCAGCTGCAACAATTTTGCACCCACAGAGCACAACTTTCTTGCTACCCCCACTCACTAAGGATCAAAACATCCCATTCCCAACCCTGTTTCTGAGGGACAGGGGATCCCCCTGGAACAGGGTGTCAGGGAGCATGTGAAGCTGTTGCAGGAGGAGTGAGATAGGAACATTATGCTCCATGGATGGAAATTCCTTGTGCCTCCAGATCCAAGCCGGGAAGCAGATATGACTAAGAGACCTTGACTTTGTCCTTCAACAAATCCCAAGATGGGAAAATGCTCGGTGGTGTTTTTTCCTGCCCCAGTGCTACATTGGCTACTTTAAGACAACATCCTCCTCAGCATGCTTTAATAGCCGCAATAGTACTTTATAGGAGAGAGAAATGAGTGAAAGGCCGTCTGCTGGACTAAAGGGGTACTGAAGAGGCCTTCCCCCACCCCACCCCATTGTTAAAGCAACAGATGCTATTTCTGGGAAGGAAAGAAAAACAGAACCTTTTGGTACAAAAGCTGCTGTTATTCTTTGCTCTGAGTTTTGCAATTAAAAAAAATCTTTCCCTGAACCATAAAAGTAATGTGCAGCCTGATCCTATGCGTATTTACTTTGTGGAAAGGATGGATCTTGACTATCCATTATAAATGAACAGAATTCCAGTCTAAGACAAAACCATCATAAAATAGAATCTATAATGCCAATTCAGACTGGCTTTCAGACTATAGAAAACTACAAAGCACAGTCTACAGGAATGCATCAAAGGAATACAAATAAAGAGTGCTGGAACTAATAAGTGTATACTGTAAGAAATAATTATTTTATTCTTGTTTATTCCAAGGGCTACTTTTTTGCTGTATTTTGTGTGAGCTAAAATGTAACAATGTGCCTTTTTAGAGTGTGTAATCGATATAGGTACCTGCTGCATGGGCAGGTACCTGCACCCATTTGACTGTGGTTCTCCTCTCTATGAAGGACTCCTGACTGGCACATGGCATAAAGCAGTTCACAGAGTCAGATTGGAAGATGAACACAAATAACTAACTGGTGGTTCTTTTGAACAGCAAAGGTCTGATACTGGAAAAATTAGTGTCAGGAGGACCTGGAAAAGAGGCAACATAGCTACAGCAATAATGAGGCTACTCATCCCAAATTCCATAGGTATCCAAGGACAGATTTTGCCTTTGTATTTTGTTTCAGTAGTATTGCGTTAGTGCCAGGTGATAACCAGTGATCATTTCACTGGTACAGGAAAGAAGAAAAAGAGCTGTGAAGTTTCTTGGCAGACACTTTGTTCAATCAGTTTATATTACACTGTAACAGGAAAGTACATGACTTTATTGAAATCATTGTTCCAGGCACAGACCGTGTCAAATGAGTCAGCACTGGAAAAACTGGGATGTGTACATTAGTGATATATAAAAATAGTACTTTAATTCTTTGATGCATGTCCTCTAGCATATCAGCAAGCACATCCAGCGGTCATTATCTTCTCATAGTCTTATATATATTTATATATACACAGTATTTTCAAAATAGGATACCCAGAGGATTCTGTTTGGATTTGAACCTTCCCAGTTCACTCTGATTTACTAACATAGTTAAAGGTACTATAAGACTCCAGAGCAGTGAAATATCTGAGAAGTATAAAAACATAGCAATTTCAGTGCCCTCCTCCCATTTGATTTTATACTGTCAACTCTATTTTAAAAAAACAACACAACAACAAAGAATTGTCCGCACTGAGGGTGTGTGTTTGCTATCAAGGCCCTCAGCTGCCGATTCTCCTGCTCGGCTGTACGAGTAAGTCGGGTTTTATAAAACACTGTTTAACGTGCAGCACAGTCAATGTGCTCAAAATGCACTCTAACATAGAGCACAGAATACAAACACTACAGAGTGCAAGTCTAACCCATCTCTACCGAGGTTAGAAATACGCTTGTGGCTTAAGAACAAGACACTTACAAAACAACGTCTCTCTTCCATTGTGAACACTTGAATGGGACCACACACACGAGTGAAGACCTAAGGGTGGGTGTCGGTTCCTCATTGGTAGGTGTAATAATACCTGCAGTGTGATCAATAGCAAAATAAAAGCAGCTGGAGAAGAAACAAACAGCCACCATTCGGGATTACAAAATCCTATCTCATGTTATTCAAATGAACCTGTTTTCATTAGTTATGTTTTAGCAGAGTTAAGTTGTTGTCTGATCTTTATTAAATCAATGATCCAAAACAGCCACCTTGTTCCAGGCGGGTTCATCATCTCACCTGCCACCAAACAATCCAGCTACCCAACAAGGAAAAAGTGCACTTTCAATAGAAAATATAAAAATAGATTGGCACGCTGCTGACACAGTGATGATATTCATTACAACCTGTCATTGCATCGGGAATCTCTTTCGGTAAGCCAGAAAACCCTGGTGAGGTTCACGGAGAGAAGATGGGAGAAAATAAGATGCGAAGGCTGCTGTTAATTCTCACCGGAATGATATGGGCAACTCAAGAAAGTTCTCTTCTGGTCCACGTGGTGTGAATCGCTTCCATCCGCTCTCCACTCACATGCAACTCATTCATCACTTGCTCTGAATAGTTAACAGCTCATTTCGCCTGAGAGTTTTAAGGAATTCAGTGCTTGTTTCTGACTATCTGGTTGCTGCCCTGAAAACAAGAGAAAAAAGGGTGCTGGGGCAGCTTTGTCCCATTTTTGCACTTCCAGTAGTAACTGCTGCTCTTTTGCACTCAGAGAACATTTTTAAACCCCTCACCCAAAAGGGTGGCCTATGCTAGGAATTCTGGATCAAGCGTCTATAATGTGGCATCACTTCCTGTTCAGGCAGATGGAGAGCAAATTCCAAGGCCACCAACACAGGGAATTCAAAGGCAATCAGTTCTCGCCTGTTCAACCGGAACTTCTCTTCCAGCTTCTGAAACAGAGCCAGACAGAAATGTCTCAGTGTATTAGGTTACCAGTCTTATATGCCAGTACTTGAAAATATTACCCCCAAGAATTAACTGCATGTTAAAACAAGGCTTTTTTAGTCCTCTTAATTGCTTTTCAAGCAAAAAGCCAACACATGTTTCTGCTGCAAATATGGCAAGTTAACACCTCAAATGTTGCCCCTTTCAGCTTTCCCGGAGAACCCTTTTCATTTCTGTGGCAAAGCTCGGTGGCTGAGACATTGCTTTTCAAGCAAAAAGCCAACACATGGTTCTGCTGCAAATATGGCAGCAAATATGCCCCTCCCACCCTCTTTCAGCTTTCCCTGAGAACCCTTTTCATTTCTGTGGCAAAGTTCGGTGGCTGAGATATACTTACATCTATTAAATGTTTGACCTCGTGCTTCTTGAGGTCGCTGCCAATCTTGGCAGCCAGCAGGACACAGGCACCGGCACAGAGCTTCCTGTTCTGCTTGTTGAGCTTCCCCTTGAGAGCCAGCTTCTCAAAATACACAAAGGCCATGGCCACTGTGGGTTCCTCAAAACCACACTCTTCTTGGGCTAGTTTGCGCATCTCCCGCTTCAGGCTGAAAAGGGGAGGGAAACCGTAAATTGTCAAAGAAATTCAAAGATTGTAACAGCAATGACTAATTGAGAGGACTGAAAAGAGCACATGAGATGTTCACCAGTTAATTCACTGACTCATTCATCTCTGATCTATTATGCTGGTGCTCTCAATGAATGCAACTGTTAAGAGAGTGATGAATTGCTGGACATTTAAAATAATTTCTGTTTAAGTACGGCTTTGTGCACAAACATTACTTGCACCTCAGAACTCCACTTACCATCATGATGGATGGGAACTGTACAGGACCTAATATCCAAAACATTTTACAGTGAAGGAGACAGAAGTAGGGCCTTTTGGGCTCTCCAAAGAGCAAGCAAAGGCTCTGGTGAATAACAGCTCTTGCTCTACTTTTTGTGCTCCCCACCCTATCCATTACAGCTGGCTTTCCAATTTGTGCTAGTGTGAGGGACAGCCCAGGATGGCTTGGGCTTCCTAGGACAGAAGCTGTGACAAAGCTTCTGTCCCTCTCTGAAGGATACTTGCATCCTGTTAAACTTTGGGTATCTTCTGAACTTCTGCATACTGGCAAACAGTAACCAGGGAGCTGGAGATGTGATTTAGTTTTTCAATTCAGCTGCTATTTCATCTGGATCTTGCAGGTTAGTGTGCTTTGGAACTATAATCAAAGGACTGATAACAGTAGAAAGCCCTGGATCCCCCCCCCCAAGACAGATTAAGCCTCCCGCCAGAAAAATACATGTACCGAAATGTATGAAGGACAGAAAGAACGTTTTCTTCCCAAGTGTGTGCACTGAGAAGCAACCATATATCCAGTACATCATAAAAATAATTTGTGCTACCACAACTACCTGTTACAAGTTGCACATCTGATATGACTTGTGAAATGAAAGATATACAGCACAAAATGAGTCAGCCAAAGAACTTTGTAATTATTCTTCATCACAACTTTACACCTATTAAAGTAATTCCATCCATCTATCTTTACCTTTCAATGCTTTCAGATAATGGTTTCAAAACACTGCAGAACCAAGAGTACATCTGTGGCTCACACACCTCCTATCTTATTTATTCAGCTTCCTAGTCAAAGCAAGCAGCTGGTTTGTTCTATGCCTTTGAAGGTCACCGTTTCAGAAAGTCTATTGTCAATATTTTATGTCCATGTACCACATTTACTAAAGGACTGTTTTGTATGGTATTATTACCTTCTTATTTTACTGAGAGTCAATTTGATATGAGGGAACTTTTCCTTGAAGGTTTCGTTCATATCCTTCTTAAGGTCCGATGGCTTTACGTAGTCAATGACTGTTGTCTGAAACAGATCAGGAAAAACTTCAAGAGGGATTTTGAAACAATCTACTTGGGAGGGAAACCTTTGCATGTTCTTAAACACAAAAATGATCCTGAAGTACACCCTGGCAATAACCACCAATGATATGGTCAGTTCATTATTCTAAAGACTCCCTCAGAGGTATCATATTACTCTGTTATACCCAAAGAAAGAGTTTTGTGACATCTTAAAAACTAACAGAGTAAGCTTTTATGAACTATAACCCACTTCATAAACTATATGAACTGTTAGTTGGCAGACAGGAAAGATCTCCCTCCTTCTCTCTCTCTCACACACAGTCAGAAGGCCATTCAACACACGGGGCAGCAGAAAGTCTGTAACATTTTGATATACAGTCCAAACAGGAATGTGTAATTCTGTTATTATCTTGTACACAACTGTAGTCACTAGTGATAATACCAGACATCAGAGCCTATCAAGCTGTTTCTCTGGCATGGCCATATTTATCTGGTGCAAGACTTCTGCAGATGCAAGAGGTTTTTCTGCCAGCAGGACAAGCTCTTGAATTGGCAGAACACTCCTTGTGTTAGAACGGTGTCCCCAATCTTTTTGAGCCTGTGGGCACAGCCACAAAATGGTTGCTGTGGGAGGTGGAGACTGCCACAAAGAGATGACAATTCTTAAAATAGTAACTTTTTAAAGTAGTGAAGAAAGGCCCAGTCTATTGATGCTAGTGAATTTTAGTTTAGACGAGGTATTTGTCCAGAATGGGGCTGTAGATCATGGGTGACACAGTGGAGCAACACTATATCCAATGCATAAAAGATATACCTCCAAAACCCATGTTTGACTGGGACATTTATACTCTGCACACACTTGGCTTCCATGCGTAGAGCACCTTTGCTGAATTGTGTTCAGGTCAATTAGTAAGGAGCTGCGGTGGCTCAAGTGGTTAAGACGTTGAACTGCAGGCTGTGGAAGGTTGGTAGTTCAGCAGTTCAAGACCCGAGTGTGCCGCATGACAGAGTGAGCTCCCGTCTCTAGTTCCAGCTCCTGCCAACCTAGCAGTTCAAAAGCAAGAAATTGCAAGTAGATAAATAGGTACCACTTTGGTGGGAAGGTAACAGTGTTCCGTGCGCCTTGGTGTTTAGTCATGCCGGCCACATGACCACGGAAATGTCTTCAGACAGCGCTGGCTCTTCGGCTTGGAAACGGAGATGAGCACCGCAACCCTAGAGTCGGATTCGACTGGCTTTCGAGCAAGGGAACCTTTACCAATTAGTATAGCCTAAGCTTGATACTTATTTTTCTACCACCATTTTTGTAATCACTGTTTATTAAACAGCAGTAGGGAGGAGATAGGAAGGAATATTATGATGCAAAAAATGCATACATATCATCCATGGGTACAGAGAAATATACAGAGTAGAAACGTCCAGTTTCTTATGCCCCAAAAGTTCAATCAACCTTTCTAAAAAAAATTTCATGGGGTTGTTTGCAGTCATGACAGAAACCTCAAAGCTGAAAATCTCAGCACTATATAATTAGAGTGCAAAGTTCTTCATCAGCAGATACTATAAACCATATTCTGTGGTGAGATCTTGACAGTTCAGAAGACCTAGAAACCTGCACAAAGCTCTTAAAGCTTACATGCTTCTTTCATCTTCAGGCAAAGCCTCTCTTATTTATATTTATTTATTATTTGTATTTATACCCTGCCCTCCCTGCGGACAGGCTTTCTTGTACATCCCTCTCTGTTGCTTCTGCCAAAGGTGTTAAAACTTGTCACAGTCTTCTATAAAATTATTTTAAAATGGTTGTGTTTAAAAAATGCAGTTTAGAATTTTGGACAGCAAAATTAATGAGTGACAAGGCAACACTTATAACTGATGGAACAAGTGTTTGGCCATAAGTCTGCTGACTTGCATTGAACCTCCACATTGGCTAATAGACTGTCTCAGGAACAATTCAAACACCCATGCAAGGGAGTGCCCCACCCAAGATCAGGGCGGGGAGGTGGCATAGAAGCTCCCCTTGCCTATATCCTAAGCTAGCACATGAGGAATAAGGATGGGCTTTAAAAATGCCAGGCCACCCTAGTCAGTTCTGATCAGTTACTGGAACTAAACAGGCGAGTCTGCCTGCACCCATTTTCTGCCTATATGCTTTGATGCAAAAAGACAAGGCTACTGCGTATAAACTTCTTAAGTATGTAGTATTTTAATGATTAAAGTTCTGAAAAGACAATTATTTTGTTTACATATCCACAATGGAAAACAATATTCATATTTAGAACATGCACAGGAGAAAAAGTAACGCCAGTGACTGACATAATATTCGAAGTTTCTAAATCAAGTCAACTGTATTAATGTGGCAGACTGTTTACTCTGAGGACATGAAATATGCTTGTTAGTGCTTAGACTTGGAGAAAAACCTGGCACGAGTCCACTGGAACTGGTAGCTATTTATTCTGGCAGACGTTCAGCCAGACACAGTAAGCACAGCAATGACCTGCTCTACCCTTCCGTGAAAACAGACAACTAAGCACCAGGCTGCTCTCCTGCCGTGTGTGCTAAGCCAGGATGAGTTCTTGCCATGGCTCACCCCCCCCCCTCCAGAGACCAGTTACTGAGGAGACTCTCTAGGCTACCAGAGGAATTCTAAACCACTCTTAAAGTTTGCTGGTTGCTGGGGAAAGTCACCAGAAAGCTAGAAAGGAAACAAACCATCAAAAATTCATTCCAAGATCTATTTTTTCCATCATCTGTAAAGTTGGAAAGATAAAAAGTACAATTCAAACCATGAAACTTTAAAAAAACTAATTGCCGCATGCTTCTCTCTCATAGTAAGGGTCACAGTACAGATTGTACCACTTGAGTCAGAAATGCTATCGTGCAGAAAACCCTGAAGCACTTTTGGTGCCATCACCGGTGTCACTACACAGCGACTGGACACTGCAGTGACTGCACCCATCTGCAGTACAGAACATAAAAGGTGTTCTGATGTGCACGTGGTGTTCAGTGCACAAGATCTGCCTCTATGCTGTGGTTTTAAATGTGTATTTTATTGTATTGCTTATTGTATTTTATATTCCGGCTTTGCCGCCTGTGAACCGCCCTGAGCCTTTGGGAGGGCGGGATAAAAATCAAATAAATAATAA